CAACTCACACCAGATCCACTTGCTGTAATCACAAGAGGCTTTATTGACGAAGCTTCGGGACGACTTGTATCTCACACAGGAGACAGGGAAGCTGACCCCGAGCCCCAAAAAGCAAGGGAATTTATACTAGGTCTAGGGGTTCTTTGGCGTAGAGATAGCTCATTGGCTCTTTGCAAAAGGAGAAGTTCAATTTTAGGTCAGTTGCCTGCTGCTGACGTTAGTTCAAATATGGTTTTTGCCAGTAATTGTTTGTTCAGTTTGTGGTCAGCTAGTTCCTGGAACACAAACATTCACACAAGATCAAAGGTATAGGTTCTTACAATACAGATCAAAGGTATAGGTTTTTACAATACAGATCAAAGGTATGGGTTCTTACAACACTTGGGTTTGGGGACGTTGTTGTTGTTGTTAAGTGCCGTCAAGTCGCAGGTGACTCATAGCGACCCTATGAAGGAGAGTCCTCGATGCTTGGGTGCCTTTCATCCTCTCTTCAGGTTCATAGGGTTTCCGGAGGCAAGCTATTATGGAAGTGGATGCCACTCCTCCTTCCAAGTTAACTTGTGTAGGCCATACAAATAGTTAATTGGGTGCCATTGAGTCTACTATGATAACCCATAGCAACCCTATGAACAAGAGATCTGAATGCTGCATGTTCTTTCCTGTGTGATCCTCACATTTCCTGACATGCTCAAGCCCACGGCAGCAATCACTTTGTCCATTCACCTGATTAAGGGTCTTTCCCTCTTTAGCTGACCTTCCACCTTTCCAAGCATGGTGTTCTTCTCCAAGGAATTGCCTCCCCTCACAACAATCCTAAAGGACAGGAGATAAAGATCTGCCACCAAGAAACACTCTGGCTGCACTTTATTAAAAAATTTTCCTTTCATTCCCCACTTCTTTTAGTACAAGGTTCTAATCATAGAACCAAGAATCTCTGCAGGCAGTATCATTGCAGTCAGGCTCTCTCATATTTTGATATTGTTGTCTTAGAACCATTAATTGAACAGTACTGATGCGATCTTTAACAAAGGTAAGAAGCTTATTTATAATGCAAGGTCCAACTAGCAACAATATAAACAAGAGTATTAAAGGACCTGTAAGGGTAGACACAAGAGTAGTTAACCATGGGGATTTATAAAATAAGCTCTTGAACCATGTTTGCTGAGATTCTCGGTCTTGTTTTCTTTTGTCTAACCTCTCCCTAAGCTTTTGCATGGAGTCTTCTATTACTCCTGAATGGTGAATATAAAAGCAACATTCTTCTTTTAGTGCAGCACAGAGACCCCCGTCTTTGAGGAACAATAGGTCTAGTCCTCTGCTATTCTGTAAGGTTACTTCAGATAAGGAGGTCAGGGATTCTTTTAGTCGAGTAATTGATGGCTCTAAAGCCCGAAGATCCTCATCTATGGCTGTCTTTAACTCATGGTATTGTTGTTGCCCATTGACAAGTGCTGCAGTCCCTGTACCTATTCCTGCAGCTATTCCTCCTATTACTAATAAGACTGCTAGGGTTATAGTAATAGGTTATCTACGAAAACGGCGCTCAGGTGCATGATCAAATTCATTAACAAATTCATCATCAGGGTGATAGTATACCTGGAGCATCAGATAAATTAATACACAGTAATCAGAGTTAGAATAAAAAACAGCTAAAGAGACACAAGGGGTTAATCCAGTATTGCAGGCCCACCAATATCCGGTTTGGGAACTAGGTATCCCTTAGAGAGGGGCACTTGGGTAGTGGTGTTACATAATGAGTGGAGATTGCTAGGAGGGTTCCCGATACAGGTTCCAGTTCCTGAAACTTCAGTTAGAGTTAACTTTGTATCACTGTCCCAAGTGCAGTTATTATGTTCAGTGGAGTTTTTAGATGTTCCTGCCACTGCAATACCTTCATAGTAAGGAGGGTTGGTGGCTAAACATAGCCAACAAGAATCAGTGATTTGGGGGTTGGTATTATTTAGGGCACTAAAAGCTCCTTTAATTAGATTGAGGAGACGGTCCCTTGTAGAGGTGGGTTGTTTTTTTAACCCCTTTGGTGTGAGTGAAGTTGAGATGGGTTGACTCTGAGGTGGGACAGGAGGTGATTTCTCAGCTGGGGAGAGCCCCGCCAGCACAGGGTTGGGTCCTATAACTGTACTCTGTAGAGGACGACCAAACAGTTTTATCATAAATGATAGCCCATTATCATAGTTTTCTTGGTAAAGCCTGATTCCCCACCATATCCTGACTGCCATTGACGGGCTTTTTTGCCAGGTTCTGTAAAAGAAATTTTTAGGGGGTGACACCAATTACTACATGCAGCTCTTGCTTGTTTAATGGAATTGGGATTTCCCAGGCTAACTCGAGAGTAGTTAGCTGTCACAGTTATGAAATCCCAAGAGGAGGAAGGCTTCTAGTAAGTATTCCCAGTTGTTTCACATGTCTAGCTTCGGCAATAGAAATCACTCTGTCTCCTGCACTTACGAGTTAGCCCTCGTGTATTCAGGTCATGCCCTGGAAAGACATAGAAAGTGAACCATCTTAGGTTCCCCCTCTGTCTCTGATTTCCACAACCTGCTCGTCCTCCGATGGAGGAACCATAAACTAGATAAGCCCCAAAACAAAGCTCAGAAGACAGGGAGGAGCAGGAAAAGACAAAGGGAAATAGGAAACCCAGGTGTAAGGTAAAAAAGGGCTCAGACAACCAAGTGAAGTGAAACAAGGGAGTTCATTAGCAGCTCTCTGGGCAGGTTTGCGGTCTGAGGCCAGAGAAGACAGGGTAAGGCAGCAAAGTTGCAAAATGAGGAAATTATAGGCCAAATTTTATAAGTAGGTGTTGAGGGTAGGGTGGTTAGCTCAGTGGTCAGTTTTCTGAGGAGGATGCTGGTTAGGTGCCCTCTGTTAGTTCCCAAATATGGAGTTATTTAGTCCCTTTTGGGGAATTATGTCATTGCTGATGGTTAAGCAAGACATGGTTGGTGGTCATGCTCTTTTCTGATTGGCCATATCTGTCTTATACCAGGTAAATTGGAATGTCTCCCAGAAGGCACAGTGAGCATGGAATATTTGTTGCCTAGCTCCCAGGTGGCCTTTCACCAAGGACTAAGTGGGAAGAGTGCTACTTTGAGGGGATTGCAACCAACATCACAAAACAAAGTGTAGCTAAATTGTTTCATGGACAAATAAGGTATTCTGTAAACTTTCACCTCAATGACAATTTAAAAAGAAAACCCCAAACTTATGAACACCAAAAGATGTTTCCTGAGTTTGTTATGGAAGCTGGCATCCAGTCAGATACCACCATGAACTGTTGTTGTTGTTAGCTGCCGTCAAGCCTAGTACGACTCATAGTGACCCCAGAACTGAGCTATGTCATATCCTCTTCCATCTTCACTATCTCTTTCACTTGAACCCATTGCTTTAGTTACTGTGCTGATTCATCTTGTTGATGTCTTCTTCTCTTTTACTGACTTTATTTTTCCAAGCATGATATCCCTCTCCAGGAAGTAACCTCTCCTAATGACATGCCCAAAGTGTGTGAGATGAAGCCTTGCCATCCTTGCCTCCAAAAAGTATTCTGGCTGTATCATTTCCAAAACTTACCTTAAAGAACTTTTGGCAGTTGATGGGATATTCTCTTTTCCAGCACCACAGTTCAAAAGTATCAGTTCTTCTGGCATCCTTATTCATTGTCCAGCTCTCAGATATATGTATTTGAGAAATGATTGAAAAGACCATGGTCTGAATAAGGGTGAACGTTGGAAGCTCAAAGGAAGCTCTGTGAGTGTGACTTGACTGCGGTGGTGGGTTGGGTTTGGTTTTACACTTTTTGTACAAGCAGCCAGGAATTTAAAAGATTAATTGCACTGGGAAAGTCAGCTGTCAGGGACCTCTCCAAAGTACTGGAAAGCAATAATGTCAGTTTGGAAACTAAGTTGCACCTGATCCAGGCCATAGTCTTTGAAATCACTTGCTTACAATGACTAGATAGAAGGATAATTGATGCCTTTGACCTCTGGTGTTAGAGAAGGGTATTGAATATACCATGAACTTGCTAGGAGAACAAACAGGTTCGCCTGGATAAGGTGAGACCAGGCTGCTCCTTGGAGGCAAGAATTCTGAAGCTTCATCAGACATACTTTGGATATGTTGCAAGGAGGGACCAGTTCTTGGAGAGGGATGTCATTCTTGGGAAGAAGTATAAGAGAGGAAGATGCTCAATGAGATGGATTGATTCAGTGACTGGGATAATGGGAGTAGATGTGTCAGAGACAATAAGATTGGCATAAATTAGAGCAGGGTTTAGGGCTGTTGTACACAGGGTTGCTATGAGTCACAGGTGACTTGACGGCACATAACAACAACAACAACAGCAGCAACTGTATGTAATGAACAGATTCACCTGGGTTTAATTATATCGCAGAAGGTTGCTGTATGTGAAAATCAGGTGAATTTTTCACTACAGGTGACATTTTCCAATGTAGATAAAACTCTGAGGAAATTGTTTGCTACAGATTAGTAAGTAAATTGTTTACTACAACTGAGTTGTTCACAACAGGTAAAATACAGGTGAAATTGTTCACTGCAGGTGAAACCCAAATGAAGTTGTTCATGGCAAGTAAAACCCAGATAAGGATTTCTATACTGATTGGTAAGTAAATACAATTAAACTCACTTTGCTTGCTGTAAGTGGGTACTCACCATGCTTGCTGGCTAACCTGCCCCTAGGACTGACCATTCCCTTGTTCAGACATTCATCAAATATTAATTGAGCACCTGCTCTTGGCCAGCTGGCCCCAGACACCTGCCCGTCTCTAGGCTATCAGAAAGCACGCCCACTTGTCCAAGTTCCTTGGTGTCCTAGCAACCAGCAGACATTCTGATCTGAGCCCCTGGCCAGGCTAGAGGCCATTTTCTCCCTAATCTCTGTGACTCATTGACACCATCTCCATCTCGGGGAAAGCTCACCCGGCCCCTAGATCCTCCTAGACCTGAGGCCCAGCCCCCTCACCAGCACTATGAGTTTCTCCCTCACATTTAGGGAGCTGGTGAATATTGCCATCCCGACGCAAGGGGTGGTCAACTTCCAGGCACTACACATGCTGCTGCATGGCATCCTGGAGCACATCAACATGACCGACCTGAAGAAGGTGTTCTCGGGGAAGGAGGAGGAGGACTTCCTTCAGGCCCCTCTGGGGATGTTCACACTCCCAGAAGGGGTTGCCCAGCCCACTCCAACTCCCAACAACAGGATCCATGACATGTTTGATCACATGGTGAGCCGCATTGACAAGATGGAGAGTCAGCTGGCAGATCTGAGCGACATATCTGCAACCTTGCAGCTATCAGAGATCAGCCAGGGGAACAGGAAGCCCGTCCAGGATGTGTGGACCCTTATTAAGCTCCGGAAGATGGTTGAGGCCAATGAAGAAGCCACCAGCAAGGTAAGCCAGCCAGTTTCCCAAAACGCCCTCCGGTATTTACCGGATAGGTGTTTTACCAGAGCATCCTGCCTTTGACTCCTGTACCTTCATTGGATAAGCCTTTCACTATAATAAACATGCCTGGTGGCCCAGAGGTGCTCACACAGCTCTAACCTAAAGTTCAGTGGTTTGAATTCACCTATATGGAACTCTGGTGGCCAAGTGGGTAAGGAGTTTTGCTGCCAATTAGAAGGGAAGAAGTTCAAATCTGCCAGCTGCTTCATGGGAGAAATATGGAGAATTTTTTTTTCAATGCAGTTTACAGTCTCTGAAAACCCACAGGAGGGCCAGCTATGATATGTTCCAACTCTCAAGAGCAATGAACAGTAGCTCCATGGGAGTGGGAGGTATTTTTGTAAAGATTAAACCGAACCTACTGCCAGTGAGTCCATTTCAACTCCTAGGCACCCTCTGGGGCAGAGGAGATCTAACTGTAAGCCTTTACCTCCGCTTTCTCACCTACAGCAACCGCTGGGTTCAAACCATTGTTCTTTTGATTCTTAGCCCATTGTGCCTCCAGAGTTCTTAATCTGTAAGTATTATAGCCTAGAAAGTTCGAGGAGCAGCTCTGCTGTCACATGGGGTCAGTCTGAGTCAAAGTTGACTCCAGAGCACCTAACAGCAGCCCCTTGTACAGAGGGGAGAATAGAGCTTTGGAATGAAACCGAGCCAATGTTCAGCTCACATCCTTCATCAAGTGTTAATCAAGGGTCCATCATAGCAAAGCACCCATGTTAGTCGCTGTAGGTATGATGTGAACAAGAATGGGAGGAATCCAGAAAGCAACTCAATCAACAGGGGAGAAAGAAGCCACGTCCCTGACAGACGTGAGAGAACTGGCATGCAGAAATGTTCATGCATTTTACTGGAGGTACAACCGCAAGTGGTGGGTGTAACACAGGCTGAACCAAGGGCATCTGACTTGAGGCCCTGCTGCTGACTGCTGCTGTGTCTTCTGCCTCCTTCCCCAGCATGGGGTGAACATTCAGTAATGGTGGCTCATGAAGGAATAGGGCTTCCAACCTGAGTAAATGTCCATGAGGAACTGATTGATTTGAATCTTCACCAACAGGTTTTCTTTTTCAAAATTATTTTTTCACCTCCTAATTCAGCAGACATCTCTAGAGGCTCATTTTCTCGTTACCCTCTGGTTTCTGACTGCAATGGAGTGTGGGGGTCGGGAGGAGGTCCATTAGTGATCTGCTGTGACCTTGTACAGCACCCCTCAATATTCTTCCAGAGACAGCTTCCATGGATGGGTCCCCAAGAAGGGAAAGTCTTGGTGCCTTGTGGGGAAATGCCCCCAAGTTCATCTTGTCTGCTTGGAACTTAAACCTTGTTTTGCCCAAAGCTGTCCTGGCAGTCCTGCTCAGAGCTCAGTGGACATTCCCAGTTGAGGTTGACCACTCTGCAACCCTTACAAGGAGGCTGGCACATCACAGTTCAACTCAGCAAGGCAGAGTGGCATCATTATAACTCTTCTGGCTTGTTTTAAGTGAGGCTTGGGTAAGGAGTTTCACTTCCAACCCAAAGGCACTTGGTTCAAATCCATACGCTGCTCCACAGAAGACCAATAGGCATTCTCCTCTCGTGTTACGTATAGTCTCTGAAGATGCACTAGAGGGTCAATCTCAAGTCTGAACTTGACAGCCATGAAAATGAGGATCAGTTTGTTTTTTTCAAATAGACTGTAGCTGGTTCTAACTCAACAGCACATAACAACAAAAACAGACATGAAAGAACAGGCACCTGCTCACACAATGTGTATCAGGAGCTCAGTGGTTCAAACCCACTAGCACTCTATGGTAGACAAACAGGAAGCTTACTCCCAGAAAGGTTTATATTCTTGAAACTCTAATGGAGCATCATCATGAGTGAGAATAGACTCTGTTCTGTTGAAGTCATCAGACTTAGGGTGTCATAGCTTTAGAACATCTATCAGTTCATCTGTCCATCCATCATTCATCTATTCAGTAAATAAATGAGAACTGAGCACCTACTGGTGATGAAAGAGTGTTAGACACCTAATGGTGTTATAGTTAAAGTACTTGGCTGCTAAATGAATGGTTCAAATCCACCAGTCACCCTTCAAAAGGAAAAATATGATAATCTACTTCCATAAAGATTTACAGTCTCAAAGACAAATATGGCATAATGCCACTGTTATAAAACAGGACTGACATGGGGGCTGGGGAAAAACTAAGAAAAGAGGGGATAAATAATCTACACAGCATTGAAACAGATGAGGGAGAGAACTATATAAAAGGAATATATGACTAGGTATTATTGGCATGACAAAAGCCCAGAATAAGAGCTGCATAGTAAAGTGGTCTGGGGTGGGGGTGGAGGTCTGCATAACAATGAAAGAACTTTTTTCCAAAGAAAAAAGTGATCTGAGGGGAGGAGGGCAGGGAGGAAAATATGCAACAATGGAAACCCAAGTTCTTTATAAACTTTTATTAAAATCTCAATTAAAAAAAAAAGAAAAAAGATTTACAGTCTCAGAAACTCTTTCAAGCTATTTCTCCTTGGGCCACACAACCCCTTCCACTTTCATTTTTTTTTCCATCCAAAATATAAACAAACAATGTGCCGTGGAGCCACTTTCAACTGAGAGCGACCCTGTAGGACAGAGAAAATGAAATTGCTCTTCCATTTTCTCTTTCTCTCTCTGCATCTCATTATATGAATGTGTACAGTGTACACCTAACCATAGGGGCATAATTCACCCTGCTCTCCCCATCTGTAAATTCTTAACTTTGTCTCCTCTGTATAGTCACTTCCACAGTGTCAGACACCCTACAAACAGGCTCCAGGGACTTGGATGTGGCTATCTTAGGAGTGTCACGACTGAGCCATCCTCTCCTTTGGAGTACCAGCTGCATGTCAGATTCTAGGCCAGGTCCAGAGGGATTTACCTACCCCTTGGCATTCTGACTAAGGCTTAGTTGCTCCTTTCCTCCCTGAACACATGCAGAAGAGAGGTCAGAGCTGGGTCAGTACTTAAAGGGTCAGCCTTGAAGTGTGGCTGCCAAACCAGGACTATGAGGGCAGCCAGTTAGGGTCCAGTCAGATGTGTGGCTGCTGCTAAGTCTCCACAACAATCTGCATGATCAGAATGCCCAGGAGAGGACCTGTCTATCCCACTTAGCCTTCCATTGGTCAGCTCAGAGGCACAGAGAAGGCCAGAAGCTCAATGAACACAGTCCCTGTGGACCAGCCTCCAAGCCCAAGGCAAGTGAAGGGGACTGGAGGGAAGGTTTGCAGGGACAGAGAATACCCCAGACACTCAGAGGGGCCTGAAGAGAAGAGAACTCAGTGTTGGAATGAGGGAAGTAGAGGCAGAAGCTGCAGGAATGTCCTGGAGTGGTCATCTGCTGCCAGAGCAATTCCAGTAAAACTTTAGCCCATGGCGTTCTCGAGGCTGGGACTTTTGAAAACAAGGTGTAGGCCTAAGTTCAAACTGCCAACTTCTTAGCTAGTGCTGAATCATCTGCCTTGTCTCTGGTGACATAATTCATTAGGAGTTATACTGCTAAAGGTCAGTGATTTAAATCCACCAGGTGCTCTATGGGAGAAACCCAATTGGGGGGGGTGTCAATGGGAGTCAGAATGGACTCAGTGGGTTTAGTTTGGGAGTTTAGGGACTTTTGGCCCTGTCAAAGGGAGAATTCTCCAAGGTGGACAGAGTGAAGAACAACCTCCCTGGACAGGAGAGGCAGAAGCAGCTCAAGGCACGCTTCTGGGGAGAGGATGGGTTCTCCTGACCACCCCTTTGAGGGAGTAGTGGACACAGTGTCTGAGGAAGCCAATCAATCCCTCAGGGGCAGCCTCTCTCTGATGGAAAAAAGTTCTGAAATGTGTAGAAAAGGGCTTCACAGGCAAGTTTGTACAGCTGGGGAATGTCTTCTTGCCTGATAAAAATTGCCAAGGTTTACCACAATGGCTCATTGTCAGAGTTGCCACAGTTTCAAGGCCCAGGATGGAACAAGCTGATTAGCAAACTGTGGACATCTACCAGTTAGGTTGCTCCTGTAGTGGCAGCTCACCCATTTCCCCTCCCCCTGACTATTGTCAGGTTACTAGTCTTTGTGGCCCTGTAAGGCATCCCTCCAGGGGCCTGGCCCAAGTGAGAAAGCAGAAACCCACCAGCCTGAGTGCTCACCCCTCACACTCAGGGTGAATTTTTCCTGGGAAATGAGGGCAGGCCCCCGGGGCTCCTTCCTTCCAATAAATGAGAGAGCTCTTTTTTTTCCCTAAAATGGTTTTATTTAACTTTTATACTAATAGTATTATTTCATACTTACTGTTGTTTTTGTTGTTATGTGGAGAGAGCACTTTCTTGAGGAACCACATGGGACACCCCAGGAGCTGGTACCTTTGGGTACCCCATCATCAAACTTGCGGAAAGTAGTTGTGGTTTAGATTAAGAAACTCGAGTGATGTGACATGTGTCAGGCTGCTAAATCAAAAGGTTGGCATGAGAGAAAAATGAACAGTATGTGTGCATACAAATTTACAGCCTCAGAATTCCCATAGTGGGTTGACTCAACAGTGTGAATAGTGGAGAGATTGAATTGCGTCTGTCTTCCTCAAATATGTGATTAAGTCCTGGCTCTTGTCCCTGTGAAAAGAGCTCTGTGGCACAGTGGTTAAAACACTTGACTGCTAACCAAGAGGTTGCCAGCAGGAATCTCTTAGCCATTCTGTGGGAGAGATGAGGCAGTCTGCTTTGGCAGAGTGTTCTCACTGTAGGAACCCTGAAGGATTTCCATCATCTAAGGTCAATGTGGGTCAGAACCAATGCACTAGCCATGAGCTTGGTTTGGGTTGATACAGTTTACAAATTAGAAGGCGGCTGCTTCTTCTTATTATTTTTTTTCCCTAAGGCTCCAGGAGTTGACAGCATACTGATTGATATATTGCAACAAACAGATGCTGCCCTGGATGTGCTCACTAAG